GCACTTCCCTTGATTATCATTGGTTAGTTTAAAGAAATCCTAGGTGTGGCTAGCAGAGGCTTGGGCTTCCGGGAAGAAGCTCCTTGCTGAGCACATGGCTAATGGCTGCTGCCCAAAAATGGAGGATCCGGGGCAAGATGGAGGGCGTAGCCCTCGCCCTTTCACCTAGTTGGGTGGGAGTGGGGTTCTCAGGGAACCACCAGAACTGGGTGAACAGTGTTAGCCAGGTTGATGGAGACTCAGATATGGTGCCTGCAGGGGGAGAGCTCAGAAAAGTAACAGTGGGCTCTACAGCACTTCTGGGAGAAAGCTGCCCCTCCAGCCTTTGCCCTGAAGCCAGACAATTCAGTTCTCCATATGTCCCTTGTGCTTTTCTTTCCTTTAAAAAAAATATATTATATTTTTATTTCAGAGAGGGAGAGAGAGAGATTAAAACATCAATGATGAGAATCATTGATTGGCTGCCTCTTGCATACCCTCACTGGGGATTGAGCCTGCAACTTGGGCATGTGCCCTGACTCAGAATCGAACCATGACCTCCTTCCTGGTTCATAGGTCAATGCTCAACCACTGAACCACACCGACTGGGCTCCCTTGAGCTTTTTGAGCTGCTGCTCCAGTGTTGGAGCTCAGAGTGAGTAAGTCCATCTGCAAGTAAGTCCTTGAGCGGGCCCTTTAAGAGGAATGCCTGGGATCTAGTAGTTCTCGATCTCATTTAACTGCAATCCCCTTTAGTTTTTACAGACTTCTCTTCCTGGCATTGTAACCCTGGACTGGGGAACCTGGTGTGGAGTTGGGATCCCTTACACCTCAGGCTATCCCGCAAGATTTTTAACCGCCACACATGGGTGTGGGACTACCCCATTCTGCATCTCCGCCCCTCCTACCACTCAAGTGGCTTCCTTTTTTAAAAAAAAATATTTTATTGATTTTTTTACAGAGAGGAAGGGAGAGGGATAGAGAGTTAGAAACATCGATGAGAGAGAAACATCGATCAGCTGCCTCCTGCACACTCCCTACTGGGGATGTGCCCGAAACCAAGGTACATGCCCTTGACCGGAATCGAACCTGGGACCCTTGAGTCCGCAGGCCGATGCTCTATCCACTGAGCCAAACCGGCTATGGCTCAAGTGGCTTCTTTTGTATATCCTTAATTATAGGAGTTCTGGTCAGCTAGACTTCAGGGGGTTCTGTAGTTTTGTTGTAATTTTGATGTTGTGGGGGAAAGCAAGTACAACATTTACCTCCGTTATCATTTTTGTTTTCTTTCACAACTTAAAATATTTATTCCACTACCTACTAGTGTCCATGGATTCTGGTTGAAATCAGCCTGAATGGTCAAAACAGGATGTTATTTCATCACATTCTCCATAATTGAATCAATGCAATTAATTTTGTTTATAGATAAATTTGTACTGCTCACTATTATTTTATACTGCTTGACTATCCCTGACTTTCCTCCTGAGCCCCAGATCTGAGGTTCCTGCAGCCTCCTGGATAGCCTTTTCTAGAAGTCTCTCAGACCTCCTACACCCACCATGACCCCAACTGGCCTCAGTGTCTCTCCAAAACCTGCTCTTTCTCCCTGGTCCTCATTTCAGGGACAGTTTCTTTGTCTCCCAAACCCAGGACAGAGTTTTGGATCTTTTCTTAAATTCTCCCTTGCTCCTATTTCTTACATGGGCCACCACCCCCACAGCGTGTTCACTAGGCCTCCTGAGCATCTCTCCCACCTGCCCCCTCCTCTCCTTTATCAACCAGGCTTTGGTCCAGCACCATCCTCTTCTGCCCAGGTCCCTGGCCTAGTGCCTCCTGGGATCTCTGCCTCCAGTCTTGAGCCATTCCCCACAGGGAAACCAGGACATCTTTGTAATATCTGACCACATCCTTCAGCTTCTCAGTTCTGAGTGCTCCTCTGATAATTTTCAAGCTCAATATCATGACCTTAGTGGCCTTGCCTGCTCCTGGAGCTATATCGTCATGGACAAGCTGGTCTTGCTGTGTTATCTGGTGTCCCTTCAGAGTGTATGTCCCCTGGGCCTCTACTCCTAGAGTTGGAGAGAAAAGGGGGGTGGTCAGAGGACTTCCAGAGTCACTTCACTTGCAACCTCTGGGGAGGGGCGGTAGTTGAGTCCACTGGGGAGACAGGGAGTGGAGTACAAAGGTGCATTTACTTTTTGCCTTTCAGCTTCTTTCCCCTCTTGATAAGAAGAACTGCCATTACACATACTCATAGAAAGCATGAGATTAGGGTAAGACTGACTGCCCTCAGATATAGGAGTGTGCTCTGATTGGTCTAAGCCACTCAAAGTCAAATCCCTCTGGCAGTGTGAGAGGTAAAGTGGTGAGCTTATGACCCAACCCATCCAATAGAGTGACTGACAGGACTGACAGCTTGGGCATGTTAGACCCCAGGCCTTTCTTCCTCGGGACAATAAGACACGTGGATATGTACCCTCAGATTGTGAGGGGGGCTGGCCTGAGGCCAGAGGCCACACTCAGAGGAGGGAAAGCTACAGCAAAATGGAGTGAGAATCCTATGGATATTGAAGACTTCTGGATCAAGCCATACCTGGAACTTATCTTGACAAAACCCATATATTATCATTTCCATTTGGACTATTTGAGTGAAATTTTTGCTACTTATAAAAAAAAATCCTAACCTCTCCAGAGTCCCCTCCTTAAGCTAAATACCAGATAGGTGTTGATATCTGAAATATTTAATGACTGGTGCAAAACCTGGGTACTGAACAATCAGAACAGACTTCAGGCCATAGCAATGGGCCTGGGTCATGGAGGACCCTGCTGGACTGTAGAGAGGTCATGGGCGCCCTGGGGCGGGGCTTAGTCGGCAGGCACATAGAGAAGCCACTATTTACCAGCTGGCACAGAAGGACTTTGGTATTTTAATGACCTATGTGGCTGTGTGGTCTGAAAGAGAAATGAAAATTTAAGCAAAACAGAGAGACAGGTTTGGGATGGGTGACAGTTGCATTTCAAAGATGGCCCAGGAAGGAAGGAATGAGAGTGGATGGGGCAGGTAAGCGGCCTAGGTCAGTGACTTCTTCGCAGCTTCCTCAGGTTCAGCCTTGTTCACTGCCACCTTGGAGCCAACTTTGGAGTCAACACTAAATCTGGTCTCAGATGACCTGCTGAAGGCTATAGAAGAGGAGCTGTAGGAATAGTAGGAATCTGATGCCATGATGTTGTTGATCTTCCAGCGGAGGGTATTGCACATCTTCAACATAAGGGGCAGCAAGAGGCAGATGATGATGTAGAGGATCACCAGGCCAAGAAACACACTGGTTGACACCTGCACGTACCACACAACAGGTGTGGATGGGCAGCCTGGTGGGTCCCTGTCCACCTTGCAGGGCAGCTCCTGAGCAGCCAGTCACTCACCATGAGGATGAAGAGGGCTCGCTTGGCATTGAGTGGAAGCCCGTGTAGATGTAGCAGGAAGGTGAGCTGGTAGTCACAGTATGTGCTCTTGTCCACACCTCTGGTGGGAGAAGGGGTTAAGAATTGGGGAGGAGTCAGGCACCCCACAGGAAGCCCCTGATCCCAGCTGGGCCACATGCCTGGCTTACCTGTTGCTCACCAGCACCTTGAAGAAGAATTCGGGGGCGAAGATGCTATGGGGAACGGTGTCATGGCATGGAGAGTTCTCCAGACACAGCCACCTGGGGGCCCATGTTCAGGCATTTGTGCTGCAAATCATGCATAGCACGTGCCCACCCTTGATTTCTCCCTCTACCCCAAAAACCTTAAGTTAGCACCAATTAGGTACAATCTTATAACTTCATACCTGATTCATTCCTTCATTCATTTACCCAATAAGGCTGGCTGAACGCCTAGGAAGTGATAGGCCATTTGTTTACTCATTCATTTCCTCCTGCCTTTCCATGTCCCTCTGTCAATTCCTCTGTTACTATGCATTCATCTAGATCAGGAGTGGGGAATGTCCAGCCCAAGGGCCGTATAAGGCCCATGAAATAATTTGATCTGGCCCTGCCAAGGCATTAGGGGTGAGTTAATTAAATTTTGACCAAATGTAGCAGGCTAGTTTTTAAGTTGATAATTTTGTATGGCCTGAGAATGATGTTATAAATATCTAAATGGCCCTTGGCAGAAAAAAGGTTCCCCACCCCTGATCTAGATTATGGATTGTACACCTTTTATGTACCAACTCCTCACTTATTCCTTACTACCTTCATTCCTTCATCCTACAAATAGAGCTTGACCCTACAGTTTGTGGAACCTTAGGAGCCTTGCTGTGGACAGGGGCCTGAGATACCAAGGTGGGTGAGGCTTGCAGCAACTATTAGGTACAAAGTCACATCTTTCTTCATTTACTCTTCCCTTTATTCATTTATTCAACAATCATAGGTTGAATGCTGACTAGGTGCAAGTTGGTTATTTTGTTCATTCTCTCACTTCTCTCATTTGCTCATGGCATCATTTTCTTCCTCTCATTGAATAAAAAATAGTAATTGAGCCCTAGCTGGTTTTGCTCAGTGGTTAGAGCATCAGCCCACAGATCAAAGGGTCTTGGGTTTTATTCCTGTCAAGGGCATGTAGGCTCCTTCGGTTGCAGGCTCCATCTCTGGCCCTGGTCTGGGCATGTGTGGGAGGCAACCAATCAATGTGTCTCTTTCATATCAATGTTTTTCTCTCTGCCTCTCCCCCTCCCTTCCACTCTCTCTAAAAATTAATGGGAAAAAATATCCTTGAGTGAGGATTAACAACACAACAAAAAAAAAGTAATTGAGTCCCTATACACTAACTTACTCCTCCATTGTTTAATTCATCATTAAGACCTCTACTCAAATGTCAATAATGCCTACCACGAATTAATTAAACTTGTTCATTGTCTCATCCCACAAATATTATGTTGAGTTTATTCTGAATCTGGACCTATATAGGAGACAGACCTCATAGGAGACAGGGCTGGGATGGGGAACAAAGGCAGAGGGTCAAGGCAGGAATGGGGTAGCACAGAAGGATGGAAACCAACTGTCCCATCTAGAACTGTCAGAAAAATCCTCCTAGGTGAAGAAGCATCTAAACTAAGGCCTGAAGAAGAAGTAAGAGGGACTAGCACTGCAGATAGAGGGTCCAGCTTATGTAAAGATCAGCCCCATTTGAGGAACACAAAGGTGGTCAGTGTGGCTTGGTCTCCCAGAAGCAGAAGGGATGGATTGGCTGACAGATTATGGGCATGTGGGGGATAAGGGGCCGGCAGCCAGGATATGCACTCACTCAATGCCCATGTTGTGGGACATGATGTTGAAAGCCAAGTCCTTGGTAGCTGTTGAGTTCTTGGTGGTCCAGATGAGGCTGTAGGTGCTGTGGAGGACCGCCATAACCTCAGTAGAGGACCATGGAACCTCGGTGGAGCAGGGGGAGTGTGTGTGGGGGGGCCCTGGGCTGCCCTTGCAAAGGGAGGCCAGCAATGTGAGCAGTGGTGGTGGTGGGGGGTCGGGGTTGGAGCCTTCAGTGGGTGGGGGTGGGGTTGGGGTTGGGGTAGAGGTTGGAACCTTTGGTGGGCAGGGCATGGGGCCTCACATTGTGGAAGGGGCAAGAGTTTGTGGGACCTTAGGAGCCTTGCTGTGGACAGGGCCCTGAGATACCAAGGTGGGTGAGGCTTGCAGCAAGAGCAAGGGTAAGGTCTGTGGCTGGGAAGCCCGAGGGTTCTGCAGGGAAAGGAAGGCCCAATTATGGGGCTGGGTCCCACAGGGATTACTTGTCCAGGGGGCTGTTGAAGCGGTAAATCTCCTCCTCGCTGTATTCCTTGATGGTGTCCAGGGTGGGACCTCCACCCACCACCTTCAGTACATAGCTGACAGGAGCAGAGGTGCACACCAACTGGCCTCAGTTTCCTGAGTCCTGCATCATATCTATGACCCCTACCCCCGCCCATCAGCCCTGGTTTGGATATGCCTTTACCTGCCCTCAAAACTGCCAGACTCTCCCGTCACCAAATCTTGGATCAAGAAGAAGGGGTGGAAGACTGTGGGTGGGAGGGGGTTGAAGCCAGGAGGAGGAGAAATTAGCTTGGCTCGAGAAGTGGAGGATGGTGAAGAGAGAAAAGAGAGAGAGGACCAAGGGGAAGAGCAGAGAGTGGGTGGAAGGTAAGGGGGCAGGGAGGGCAAAGTGGTGGGGGCAGAGGACAGTGAACAATGCAGAGGAGGAGACTGGACACGCACTGTCACGGAAGAGGAAGCAGGGCATCTCGGGGTCTACGTGAACGCAGTCAAAATAGTGTCTGTTCTGTAGGTTGTTGTACTGCAGGGTGTAGGTGATGTCAAAGGCCAGGCGCTTTCCCGGTGGACAGCCTATAAGCACTGGCACCATCAAGTTACCCTGAGTAGGAGGAGAAAAGTCTCACTTGGGAAGTGGGAAGGGGAGGACACCCCTTCTCCCACACACGCCATCACTACCTGCCAGGCTCACCCTCACCAGGGGGCAATCTGATTACTATTTTCTTCAACATCAATGATGAGTATTTTTTCCAATACTCTAATAACTGTAAATACTTATATAGCTGTTACTGTGTGCAAAGCACTGTGTTCTAAGCACTTTACATATTCAAATTTGATTCTCCAAACAGCCTTGCAAGGTTGAGGATATAATACATTTTATTTATTTTTTTAATATATTTTGATTGATTTCAGAGAGGAAGGGAGAGGAAGAGAGAGAGAAACATCAATGATGGGAGAGCATCATTGATCAGCTGCCTCCTGCATGCCCCACACTGGGAATCGAGCCCCCAACCTGGCCATGTGCCTTGACTGGGAATTGAATTGTGACCTTTTGGTTCATAGGTCAATGTTCAACCACTGAGCCATGCTGGCTGAGCTACAGTACATTTTAGAGATGGCAAAAGTGAGGCACAGAAAGGTCAAGCAACTTATTAACTATCCAAAGCCATGCAGCTGTTAAGTGGTAGAGCTGAAACCCAAACTGGGCCATGTAGCTTCTAGCTGCCTCCAGAAAAACACATATAAAACAATAAAGCCTACACCTAGGGAGCAGCTAACACCTAGTCAGGTGCACCTAGTTTATAGGGTTGAAGTTGGGCTTGAATTCTCAAACAATTGACCTGGCAGAGCATGGGATATATGAGGAAAGTGCAGCCAGGTGGGGACAGGGGTGAGGAAACCCCTGTGACTTTGCCTTCAGAATGAATGACCCCTGGCCCATTTCAGGGGTATGTCCCAAGGGTTTCACCCAATTGTCAAAGGGACATGGGCATCCGGAAACTGTGGTCTGGGCTTGATAGTGACTGTGGAGAGGAGTTAGCAATCATAGTTCAAGCACTTCCCATGCTGGACCTGGGCCAAAAACTATACCTATCAGCCACTCACTCACTGGGAGTCTAATGGGCATCTTCAATTTAATATATCCACAACCCATCTCAACTAATGGCACCTCATCCCTCCATGTGCAGGCTAAAAGCCTTGGCCTTATCCTGGAAACCTTTCTTTCTCTCACCCCCATATCCAGTCCATTCAGATAGCCTGTGTCCCTTGACTTCAAAATAGAGCCATTCTCTCCCCCCACCTCTCAGCTCCTTTGCCCCACACTTGCCTGCCTAACTTTGTTCCCTCCCTGGATCTCACCCCCCAACACTGCCCATATGTCTTCCACATACAGTCAGAGGGAACCTGTGAACACTAGAGTCACTCCTCTGCTTAGAGCCCTCCCCATTAGACCTCACATGATCTGCTCCATCACCACTTTGACCTCATTTCTCACCACTTTCCTCTTTGCTCACCCTGATCCAATCACACTTGCCCCTACATGTTCCTTTAGTCTAACACATGAAACATACTCCCACTTCCAGGCCTTTTTACCATCCATTCCCTCTCACTGGCATGCCTTTCTGGCACATAAACACATGACTCACTTCCTCCCCTCCTTCAAGATTTTGCTCAAATGTTTCCTCCTCGGCCAGGTCTTTCCTGAGCCATCCTATAGCAAATGCTGACCTACCTCATGCACCTTGCCTGCCTTTTCCCTCCTAGCACTCATTATCTCTTAACACAATATATATATTTTTAAAATAATTCTTGTCCTAACTGGTTTAGTTCAGTGGATAGAACATCCGCCTGTGGACTAAAGGGTCCCAGGTTCGATTCCAGTTTAGGGCATATGCCCAGGTTGTGGCCTCAGTCCTCCCCAGTAGCGGGTGCACAGGAGGCAGCCAATCAATGATACTCTCTCATCATTGATATTTCTCTCTCTCTATCTCCCTTCCTCTCTGAAATCAATAAAAAATATATTTAAAATAATAATAATTCTTTATTGTTGAAAGTATTACATATGTCCCCCTCCAGCCCATCCCTGCCCCCCGCCCTAGGCCTTCATGTCTGTGTCCATAGGACATGCATATATGCATACAAGGTCTTGGATTGATTACCTCCCACCCACCCTCCCTGCTTTCCCTCTGAGATTCCACACTCTGTTCCATGTTTCCATGTCTCTGGGTCCATTCTATTCATCAGTTTATTTTGTTACTTAGATTCCACATATGAGTGCAATCATGTGATACTTATCTTTCTCTGACTGACTTGTTTTACTTAGCATCATACTCTCCAGGTTCCTCCATGCATAACAGTATATCTTCATGATAACTGCTGTTAAATCACAGAAATCCCTGCCTTCCATCCTCTCCTGGTCAAAGTAGATGTCTGTGTTCTTTGTTTTCTCTCTGTTTGAAGTGTACTGTTTTAGGGGCTGTCACATATGTTAGTCAAATGACCATAGAGTTTAGCATCTCTAAGAGCATTTCTTAGAAAAGGACTTTTCTGCCTTGCAGTGTCTTACAAGCTCTAGTGTGATGATAAAGGCATACAATTTCCAGATTATAATCATCCTGGTGATTGCTAATATAATGAATAATAATATTAAGAATTAATTTGAGGAACCACCTTGCCTCATTTCAATTTCCTCAAACTCCAGAGCTTTAGTGCACTTTTCCATGGCCTCTATCACATGTGCAGGCATTGAAACCTGAGACCTTGGCTCCCAGTAAGGAAATATCCTCCCGCCTCCCTTAGGAAAACATGAACAAATCCAGGCCTTATTATGACTAGGCTGTGTTCCAGTATAGTAAGCACAGGC